GAATATTAAAATGGTGACAGTAGCTGCAGGTTGTAGGATTTACCAGTTAGTCTTACTGCCTTTGTATACTTCTCTGTAATGCCTAAATGTCCTGCCATGTACATTCGTGGGTAGTTGATTATATTGTTTTAAAAGAAAATTAACCCACAATCTAGGTTGGTCTACTTGATTTAATTTTTTACTGTAAAAAAAAATACAGATTCAGAACTCTAGAGGGTCCACTACACTTTCCAGCAATGCAGAAGCAAAAAGAATGTAAGAGGAAGCGCAAACCTCATGAAGATTGCAATCCAATAGGAAAGCTTGCCGTACGTGACCAGGCCGTGAGTGGAGGGCAGGAATTACTACTTTCTTTTCTGTCTCCAATGTGCAGGGAAGATAAAGATTTTTTAAATCAGCCTCGCCTTCAAATACAGCCCAAGTCCCCCACCCTCTCCAAAAGTTCACAGACCTCTGCTCCCAGAACAACGTCCAGTGCATCTGTCCACAACCACTTCGAGCCACAAAATTACCCACCACTTACAATCTGCAAACCTCCTCCAGGAACCCAGTTTGAGGGAATCCCCTTTTCCAATAGTACATTTCTAAAAAAAGTTATTCCTCATCTTCCTTAAGTTACACAAACACAGGAGCCCAACCAACCGATACAGAATCATTTGTTCCATCAATTAATAACCACTGTTGACAACAGTGTACAGCACTTGAGGAAAAATTATGTTAACAAAAAGGGTTAGTTTTTATGGAGCCTGAGAAAAACAAACAGGAATTGAGGAGCATGTCCCAGTCCGAGCCAGAAGTGGGTGGGGGTGGGAAGGCAATGGCCAGAGGACAGAAACATCTGTCATTCTGCAGTTTCATTTCTCATGGCCAGTTAATACCCTGAGTTTATGCATCAGTCTCTTCCAAGTTTGATTGGAAAGTCAGTCTCCCTGGACCCAATCAGCTGAGTGCCCTAGAAACTGAATTTTGGAGCTACAAAACTAAAAACCAAATCCTGACGCATAGTGATCCCGCCAAAATAAAGCCACCTCCAGGATGATATCTGTTTCTACCCTCTCTAACTGCAACACCTATCACTGTGTGTACGTGATGTATCAAATGCCACCTAATAGCGCCCTGTGCTTTACAGAATAAACTCCAAACTTCCTGACCTGCCTTTAACAGCTCCAGCTCAGCTTTCCTGCATCACCCCTGAACAAATCAAGCCTCTCATGACTCCATGTTTCCATACATAATTCTCTCTACCTAGAACTTTTGGCCCGATCTTGCCTGAAAATCCCCCTTCTGCCTCCAAAGGCCAGTTCAAAAGTTACCTCCTCCTTGAGGCCTTTAGCTTTTACTGCTCATGATGGGTCTCTAACTATGGGTGCATTTAGAGAACTTTTTAAGTACATCCTAGCTCTCATCCTTTTAACTGTCTGACCTCCCCTGAATACCCTGAGCTTCTTCAGGGAAGGAGGTCACTTTGTATTCATAAGTCCTATAGCACAGGGTCAAGTACGAAATGGGAGATCAATGTTGAATGATTGATCACATGGAACAGGGCATTAAGTTATTTAGAGGAAAAGGGAGGGAACAAGCATCTCACAAAATTTAAGAATTAAATTATCTCTATATTTAACCTCATCCAAAATGACCACAATGTGCTGAAAGACAGCAGGGACGTTTAAAATTTTTAAATAATAATAGCAACTAACATTTGAACTAAGTGCTACAATATTTACATGGCTTAGTTAATTTGATCCTCACAACCACCTTATGAGATAGGTCCTTTTTATCTTCAGGTAATCTAGGAAAAACTTGAGGTTTTTCCAAACAGGAAACTGAGGCACAAGAGAAGTTAAATAACTCAAGATCATTTCGTTAGCAAGTGGTAGAAGCAAGATGCAAACTCCAGCAGTCGAGCACCAGAGTCACTGGGCTCATGAATCAGGCAGACCTGGGTTTGAATGCAGATTGTGTTACAAAGGTGGCTTTAGATAAGTAGTCTATCCCCTCTGGGCTTGTTTTCTGTCCCCTCTGGGCTTGTATCTGTCAAGGGGCAGGGCAACCCCTTTCTCTTAGGGTGCAAAGAGAACTAGATCAAATATGATAATGTATGCAAAAGGTTCTAAATTGATGGCCCCACCTAGCATGCACTCCATAAATGCTAATTCACTTTCCCTTCCTTTCCTAAAAGCTGGGCAAAATAGACTCATTGAGGAAAAGGATCTCCCCCAGACTGCTTGAGGCTTTTCCAAGGAGTTAGGCCACTCAACACTGAAAGCCTTGCTTTACTTACCTGCTTATCTAGTTCCCACACAAAGGCCAGAGACTTTTTAAAATGTAAATGTCATTGTGTCACATACTTAAAAACCTTCAAAGGTTCCTAATACTGGGGATACAATCCAGTGAAGGCATTCAGTCCCCAAGGTCCCCTGTGATTGGACCCACCTCTCCACAAACTTATCTCCCCTCTCCCTTTCCCCCTCCAGCCACACAGGCCTCTTTCACTTCCTCCGACTTGCCAAGCTCTGTGCTGCTCCACACATGGTTAACTCTTAAGCCTCCTTCAGGTCTCAGCCTAAACGTCACTTCCTTCCCTGAGCCCCCAACCCAAATCAAGGCCCATGACTCTTTCTCACCATCTCTTCATCTTTCTTTTCTTGCACTCTTCACAATTTGAAACGATGAGTTAAACCCTTCCTTAAAAGTTTTATTCAAAAGACACCTTCTTAGGAGGCCTTCCCAGGCCACTCAAATGTAAATGCAACCCCCACCAAATATCTCATGCCCTCCTTCCTTATTTTCTTTTTCTCTGGCATTTAGCACTTTTTAACAGACTATATTTTTTATTACACATTTTACTTTGCTGTCTATCTTTCCCCCTTACGAAAATTAAAGTTCCACAAGGGCAGTTATTTTTGCTTGCATCTAAAACAATGCCTGGCACATATTTACTGATAAGTATTTGTTATTGCATGACATTTCAAGATTATTTGTTTATTATTGTGCCTTCCCGCTAGGCTATGAGCTCAAGCTAAAACATGTCTTTCTGGTTTATCACAGTATTCCCAACACCTAGGCCAGTGCCTGGCACATAATACGTGCTCAGTAAAAATTTACTGAATGAATCAAAGCCCTGACCTGTGGGAAAGGGTCAAAAAACGTGTGCAATCAACACACTTCCTCCTCTCTTTCACTGTGTGATGTACCTGTGAGTTTCAGGAAACAGACCCCTGAAATCCCACCAAGCACCCACCGGCCCAGGCATCTGTCTGTCCACATCCTGTATGCTCAGCTATACTGTACATGCCAACAGATGCACCGTACAGGCCCTACATGAACACCATCTTGCCCCAAGTCCCATTCTCCTACTGCCAGTCCTATTCTAGGCAAGTCCTGGGTGCCAGACATGCTTCCCTGGATGGGCTTGTGCGTTTATTCCAATTCAGGACGTTTAATGCCACCTCTGGCCTACTAAAAAAAAAAAAAAAGTAAAAAAGTAAAAAAAATCCCTGAGCAGCTCCAACAAGCCTGGGGTTCTCAAAAGCAGGCATATCTAAGGTCCTACGGACCCCTCCCCTTCACACACGCTGATCCAAGGCCAGGAGGCCATCTGTCCAGCAGACGCTCCTCTGTCCTCCCTCGGGTCACATTGAGCCTTCCCCCCCCCCCCAGGTTGGCAGGAAGAGCCCCTGCAGAGAGACAGTTTCCACCCTGACCAACAGGCCTGGTCACCCCCTGAGGACCCCCAACACTGGGGCAGGAATACCTGTCTGCCCAGGGTCAGAACTTGGGCGGAGGTGGGGGGAGGGACTGAGGGGCGCCCAAAAGGGTCGATCCGCGAAGTGTCTGCCTCATGACGGCGCCAGCTCTTCGGGCGGTGGGGACGGTCGGGCTGACAGGGCGTCCCAGCGGGGGAAAGTGGCCCCGTTATCGGTGCCCGGGCGGGGGGCCGCGGGCTGTCGCCCAGGCGGCCTCTGTCCCGCGCGGGGCGGACAGCGGCGTGCCCGGCCTCCCCGCGGGTCGCGGTGGCGGAAGGGGCCGGCGGCAGCCGCGGGGG